CACTAAATCAACTTATGCCCTTGAAAATTTGTATTAAAACCCTCAAGTATGATATTAATGTGTTTTGCTAAAAAAAAAAAAATTTAAGTGACTTTTAAAAAATGATACTTTTGGCCGCCTAAATCGACGTTTCGTCCACTGTGCGACGTGGAGCACACCTTTTTCAGATGTGGACGATGGATGAGGAAGATAATGACTCTGGAAGCGATGGTTGAAGCCGAGGTTAATCCCGAGTCGATAATCAACATCATGCTCAGGATCAAAGAGAAATGGAAACTGATAGAAGATTATGTGGAAGGAATCCTGAAGGTAAAGGATTTGGAAAAACGACAGAGGGAAACAATGAATGCAGATGATCTAGTCACAGACGTGTAAATATTGTCAGAATTAAGCAAACCGATGTAAATATTTACTGCTAATTTGTAAATATTTAAATGAATGTTTATTTATAAGTGAAACATGTATAATTAAGGTGTTATTTTCAATAAACGATGGTAGTTCTGGCGAAAGCAAAGCTAACGCAGTCCTGCACAGAGTCATCAATTCAAAGATAAAAAAAAAGGCCATCTTCCCTTACATAAAAAAATTAAAACGTAAAAAATAAAACTTTGTTTTATTTTATTTTCTCAACATATATTTTATTAAACAATACAATTTGGAATATGTTATAATATTACATTTCAATATCATAAATTGTTTCATTTTTTTCTGTATCGTATTTAAATCCAAGAATGTTGTAATACTTTACAATTAATTTGTTGCATAGTTTTTTCATATTTTCAGAATACTTATCATTATATAATATTATTTCAAAAGATAAATTTTCAACACTTACTTCTTTACTAGATGATTTTTCGTCACTTACTCTGTTGTCTACTTTAAAACCAATACCTTCATCATACCAAAATGAACATTTTTGATAATTCCAAAGATTTATAGTGTCAAATAAGAAATTTATTTTATCTTTGATTTTTGAAATATCTCCATAATTTATTATGACTTCCTCATCAGTCCTAGTATAAACTGCTTTGTTTTCTGGTAAAGTACTTTCAATTTGCTCAACTTTTTTTAATTCAAATATATATTTTTGAAAAAAATTGTTCGTGTAATCTCCTCTTAAGAGGTTTTGTAAATAATCCAACGCACTTATAAAGTAAGTAATCATATTATTTGCTTCTGTACCAAATGACTTAAGATTTTTCATACATTCAATTGTAGTTCCTTTATTTTTTTCATGTTTCGTTTTTAAACATATATTGATAACTTTAGAATAGTGGTCTAATATCTCTAAAGACCGTGCAACATATTCGCAACCTATTAGTGAAGTTATTCGTAATAATTTTTCTGTTTCATGTGTTTGATCAAAAATTTCTCTGACATTTTTAGAAACTGTTTGTTTACTTCTGCCACGATGTGCTATACTTTGCTCTCTAAAATATCTTTGACCAAGTAAATCTAGTATTTCCTTAACTTCGGAGTGATCACAAGATGTTAGTTGAGATACACACATTAAAACTGTAAATAGTATAACACTGGTGAAAAGATTCATAATAATAATGAAATTAGAAAATACCTGGATAAAATATTAGAAAATATCAAGTAATTTATATAACCTCTTTTACATAATTGTTATTGCTAGCAGCCTGTTTTATACAAAAATTTGATTTGACGGCATTATTTGAAAAAACAAAATGAATGATAAATTAAGCTCAAAATTATAGTAATGATCGAATTATTTACAATGAAATAAATTTTATAAGTATAGTCGTTGCATATTCTAACATTAAATTATTACGATGATTAATTGTGGGCACACAAATTTGAATAGTTGCGTAGAACATAGTGAAAAATCAAATAAATTTTTTTTTAAAAGTAATTCTAAAATAAGAGATTACACTATTTTAAAAGTGTACTTAAATATTATTGCAATTTCAACTTTTATAAAACGTTAAGATAATAATAACGTTTTTAAACAATGATATATTATAAATGTGTTAACTTTTATTTCAATTAACAACATACATATTTAACTATACAAAATAAAAATAATCTAATTAAAAATGGCTGAAAAAGAAATCTCTGAGTTTCTTTTTTTTTGGATTTTAATAATTTAATTTTTTTTTTTCCAGAGAGAATTTACTAATTTCTGGTCAAGTATTATAAAGTAGCATAAAAATTGAATATGAAACCTTAACTTTCATGTACACATTATATTGTGTTCTAATATATCCATTTTTTTCCTGGATTTTTATTTGAGAAATAAAATTTTCTAAATAGTCACCTTAATGGTGCAAATCTGTTTTGCTGTTATTTTTATAGAATACGTATTATGCTTGTGTTACACATTTTTAATAAATTTTTTATACCTTTGAAAATAAAATATCCCATTTATCTACAAATTTATCTACAATGAATTTTTTTTTATTATATGCCTAAAAATATACACATTTATAATTCATTTGTTACGCACCTAGAAAAATAATATGCCATTTTTACATTACTGTTTAAAGGATGGAGACTATAAATATTATATTTAAATTTAAATTATAAATTTGCGTACAATGTAGTTATAAAAATAGAGCACACGCAAATTTCATGAAAAAATCTGGTACTTGTTTTTGTTTGTTTTATTTTTAGTTTAATAGTAATAAATTATTAAAATCGAAAAAATATGAGAACATGCTGACACTACAAGACATCTAAAAATAAAAACTAATGATTGTTATCTATATCTATAATAAATCCAGCACAGTGGGCATGTGGCATAGTTGGGTCCAGTATAGATTTAATCTGACAGTGTTTAAAATCACTTGTATAAAAAATGCTTCGGTGAAAATCTGTTGAGAGTGTTTAAAAAATTGGTGAATTGTTCCAAAAGCATCATGATCTCTTATTCCTTTATTTATACTCTGATTACAAAATTTATGATTTGTAAGTTATATATGAATAAATATATATTATAACAATTAAATATAGTATTGTAATTTTTACGAAGAATTTATAAAATATTATAAAGTAGTTATTACTTTTATGGCAAACGTATATAAAAGTTAAAGGTCTTGATGAAATACTGACACGGTCCCCGCGACTCGTGCCACCTTTATCAGCCGTCGCCCTATTTTATGAGTATTTAACAGACCAACACCGCGTGCCATACGCCACGGTGCAAAGTCCAGCAAGTGCCGCACAGCTGTGCCGCAAATGATACGAACCTATCCGCACTGTCGCCAACACCGCTGCTAACTTTTTGACGTCGAGGATCATGCAAAGATTATTATTACGGTGTTCGTCTATTCGGTTTGTTTGTTTTTCAAAAAAAACCTGTTGTTGCTCATTAATAAACGGCCCACGGGTCCTACCNTACAAAGATTATTATTACTGTGTTCGTCTATTCGGTTTGTTTGTTTTTCAAAAAAAACCTGTTGTTGCTCATTAATAAACGGCCCACGGGTCCTTCCCTCAAAACCAGTGTCGACTATTTATTGCGACGTAAGCCGTGTCAATAATTAAAAAAAAAAATTATTTGTTATTTATAAATATATTTACTGGTCTACAAGATATTTTCATCCGAGACTAAAATATATTTTTTTAAACATATTTTCGCGCCGATTTCAAATCTGCAATTAGAGTTTCGTATAAAGCCTAAATAATAACAAAATCCTTCTAATTAAAATAACAAATATCTATGTTTGATTATTAGGTTAGGTATGAATACTCAATAAATATATTTTAATTAAAAATAAGTTGAAAAAGTTCTACTTTTTATATGCATTTTTAAGTTTTGAACCATTCCTGTAAAAAGGGAAATAGTCCGATTTAAAAAAAAAGTATATCGAATGAACGAGATATACAAATAGNTAATGGGAAATGGTCCGATTTAAAAAAAAAGTATATCGAATGAACGAGATATACAAATAGTATTTCTCATTAAAAAATTGTATTGATCCATACACTTTTCAATAAGTTAAAAAAGTTAAAAATGTAAAATATAAAATCGAGAATTTTCACACAAAAATAGCATTCAGTAGCAATTTTTACCGCGAAGACAAAATAAAGTCCGAAATTTTTTTTTTCATAATAAAGTATATTACATAAGATATATATATAAAAGTGTCAGACTTTCTGGAACACTTTTAAAAGTTAATTTGAAAAAGTAAATTTTTTGTGAAAAAGTTGTCATTTTGAATCCCTCCCTGTGGTTAGGTAAAAGGTCAGATTTATCAAAAAAATATACTAAATGATAGATAAAGACATCTATAAAAAAAAAAAATAATTAGATTGATTTGGTCATTTTTAAAAAAGTTATGGCAGTTTTAAGTAAAAAAAAGAAAACGGTTGAAAGAAACGGTTCGGTGAGAGCTGGGAAAAAAAGGTAACAGACACAAAAAAAAACACATCATAGTAAAATTAATACCTTCTCAGCTACTCATCGAAGCTAAAATTATCCGTTATATTTGTTCCACTCTTATATTATAGAATTATAATTTAAAAAATTATATGTACTTTATTAAGTTATACAGTGATAAATATTAATTAGATATTTAAAAAAAGTTCAAGCTAAATTTTATATATATTTAATTATTTTATTTTTCATTCGATATACATTTTTTTTAAATCGAACCATTTCCCTTATAAGGTAAGCACTTTCAAAAGTTTTACTTTAGAAAGTATTTCGGAAACACTACAAGTCTCAGACATATGTAAAACAAATGCTTATGTAATATGTTATAGGATAAAAAAAATTGTTCCAACAACTTATCTTCTTTATGTAAACCGCTGAAGTTAAATAACAAATATTATTTTTGTGTAATGAATCACTGTATTTCGCGTTGTCCACTTCAATTTTTTTGCCTATATTTTAGTTCAAATAAGAACGAAAATCACACCATTTATTCTCCCTTAAANTTTTTGCCTATATTTTAGTTCAAATAAGAACGAAAATCACACCATTTATTCTCCCTTAAAAAAGTAATAATAATAATAAATATTTAAGTGATAGTTATAAATATTTTGAGGGAGAATTTTTGCAAATTTTTATGTCAATCCAATAAGTATATTAAAACGAAAGGGTCTGACCTTTTCAAAAACAAATTTCATAACTTAAATAATAATTAATTAATGAAGATCAGAATAATAAAGTAAAGAAAGTTAACTTTCATTCGTTTATGTTTTCCATATATCGATATATGTATTTTTGATACACATTTGCTATAAAGATAGTGAAATATAGAATTACTTTATTATTGTATTATTTTTTCGAAAAAAATAACAATGTTAAATTATTGAATATCAATTTCAATTTTTTTTGTTTTATTTAAATAACTTCTTTTTCAATCCATAGGAAGATGAGAAGTAAAAATATAAGAAGTAACTTCTTAATCTCAAATCACGAATAAATATTATTACAGACTGTAAAAATGAACTATTCATTTTCAACAAACTATTCATTGATAAATGTTGTTAATCAATAAGGACTAAAATTTTTGTTTAAAATGTCACATTCCCTTCGTCATCCAAACGCTTTGTTTATATTGTTAACACGAGTTCTATGTAAACATTATGGGTTGTCTGAATAAACTCCGATGGATATTTTTATATTTATTTATTCACTCTGTTAAATGAATATGCCGCGTTAGCATGATATTAGACCGTTAATAATCAGATCCGTGAAAATTTTAAACAAGGCCAATGTACAATGCACAAATAAAAAAATCTTTTGTTCATTTACTTCAGATATTTGGATGGTAGAAAAATAATATTATAATAGTTTAGGTTAAAAAAATATCAATTGATTATTCAATAAATAAAATCTTTTCAAAATAAACATGGTAGCTTAACTATTTTGGTGAGTTTTATCAAGGTCATGAATAAATTGATGGTTTTTTTTTTGAAAAATTGTCATTAGAATATGCCAAATACTTTCATAACGCCACCTAATAACTCAAAATAAGTGTTATATGCAATTTTTAAAAAATAATTGTTTTATCATATTTGTTTATACTTTTATACTACTTATTTAATAAATAAATTTGTGGTATTACCCGTTTTATAGGATTTCAATCTTTGAAATACCACCTAAATAAAAATCTGAATATGTTAATAGCAATAAACAAGAAAACCCTAATTTCATTAATATTTTCCAAAATTAACTATTCTCACTAAAAACTAATTTTTTCTATACTTAAAAGTAAACCCATTTCTATACAATAAACATTTTTTAATTTAATTAATTTTTTATTGACACATTTTCTATTTTGAAAATAATGTAGATACTTTCTGTATTTTTTTTTTTTAAATTTCTGACTTAAACTTAAGGAAAAATGATTATTTTGACAACAGACATTTTGCTGTCTACAATATTGAAGTGAATTTTATAGAGTTTGGAAGCAATTTTGAATCTCGCTTTTGATTTTATATATGAAATCTTTTTTATGGGTTAATTACTAATTATTAATTAAATAATTGAGTCATTAAAAAAAAAACTGATAAATAAGTTTTTTAAAATTTTTTCTAAT